GATCAGCTGTGCCCGTAGGACACAGGGATCAGAGATCGCTGGGGGGTGCGAGTTCACCAAATTCTGATCATGTCTGATGGCCAGTATGGTGGCCCCCTCATAGTGATAAGACAAGAGGAATGTGTGTGCTTCATGGAAATGTGATAAGGGGGAGAGCAGAGTGGTGTTTTAGTCTGCTGCTCCTTCACTGACCAGCCACAGGCCTTTTACATTCTTTAAAAGCTTAGGGGGAACTTCACCCAAAGGGGTATGTTCTGCTTGATTGCATCCGCCACCACATTTGACTTTTTTTTTTTTTTTTTTTTTTTTTTTTTTTTTTTTTTGGGGGGGGGGGGGGGGGTGTCTGGTTTTGAAAAGTACCCACTCCCATCTCTGGGTCAGGTGGCGGCAGCATCTGTAAGGAAGTCCAGCCTCCTCCCCCCTGCAGCCTTCTGGGACACATCACCACTGTGACAGTAGACTGGCTTCACTGGCACTTTCCCTTACCTAAGATGCTGGCGTCTGCACTCAAAGCTGATTGGGTGAGGACATCAGTGGATGCCTGGACAGGTAAATGTCCTTTTGTTAAGTCAGCAGCTACAGTATGTTCACTGGTAGCCTATCGGCTTGTTCAATAAGCTTTGACAATAAAACCTGGAAGCTGATTGGTTTCTATGCAGAGCTGCACCAGATTTTGCATCAGGAAGTTTTAGTAAATGACCCTACGGGGTCACTAATGTCACACATATCCACACCTTTGTGTACATCCAGCTGCAGGGTGGGGATTCCCCTGCCTGCAGCACATTGGCCCAGCACTGACAGCTGGTTTCTGGGTTTGGCTGAATCCAAGCTCATCCTGAAATCTCCTGCGATAGCCATGTTGCATGTCAGAGGTCATCCGCTTCTCCACAGCGGCCAGAGAAGGAAGAACCTGGCGGGCTTCATCAGGGGTGCAACTGCAGGAAGAGACAGTCGGCTCCCAATGACATAAGGAAGAAAAATGGCCTCATGGGACCCGGCATGTGGTGGATTACAGCAGAGCAATGCTGGACTTGCTAGGCATGAGAGTCGGGGAGGGTTTATATTTGCAGTACAGGTTGTAATATTTGGGATCCTGAGTAATGAGGGCATTCTGGGCTGCTTCCTGGTCTCTGAGCTCTCTAGATGAGGAAGGAAATGGGTGCATCATTCAAATTCATTGTTTCATATGGTACATCCCCACAGCCAGTATTAACAGATGGTGGGTGTGGACTCCATGAACTACCCACCTCTTTGGAATATGATCTTTGGTTGCTGTGAGCAAACATAAAGTTCAGCAAACAAAGACAGTAAGGTGAGCCCATCACAAGCCTAATAAAGCAGCCATTATCTTAGAGCAGAACCTAACAGTGCCCCCACCCCCACCCAGAATCCTACGCCACATAGGGAAGGGAGGAACAACATAACAAACATTACAAACTTGTTTTACTGAGCTGAGTTCTGTTTTGTCTATGACCAGAGCTGACGTTTATTATTTTCTAATACTTGGTTCCTCTTTTTTTTTTCTTTTTTATGCTTACCATCTCATCAGCGTGCTAATGAAATGTTTGTTTTTTTTAAATAAAACCTTTCAATTTTCATTACAAGCCTTTTTTAGACACATTGACATTATCACTGGGTCTCTATGCTTCTCTATGAAATACAAGCAGATCATGGCTGGTGGGTGGGGTTGCTATACATGGCTTCCTGAAAACATCCGAGCACCCTGCCTCAGTACTCTACTCAATAGCCCTCAGCCCTGATGCAAGCAGCAGGCCGGCTCTTGGGAGGAGTTTTGCAAACCATAAAATGCTTTGATGGGGGGGATGTTAGTCTGGAGGAGGGGGTGTCTTGAGGAAGGGTGTATATGAATGCCGACAGTCCTAGGTAACTCCTATGTGGGATTTTTAGACGCCCTGATTGAAAGACCTTAAATCCAGTGAATGATAGGAGGGAGACAGGGACAGCAGAGCTGGGGAAGAAAGGACTAGATGATGCTGGACATCCAGTCTGGAAGTGAGGAGGGATCGATCTGACTTTTCTGCAGCTTCTAATGTACATTGTGAGAAGCTCAGAATAAGCAGTTTTGGTACAAGAGAGGAGCCTGAACCATGCAAGACTGAAGGAAAGGCCGGAGTTCTGCTTTAAGCCGATTCCCAACACCGACTCACTGCACTGTTGGTGATGCTGAGTTGGAGCTTCACCACTTGTGGTTTATGGACAATGGCAGCCTGTAATATACATGTTGTGCTGCAGCTCATTCCAATATGTATAGCACTGGTACCCAACACGTGACTCGCCAGCACCCTGTGTGGCCTGCGGCATCTGCTTATTGGGCACCTCTAACAGGAATATGTGACAACCACATGGGAGTGGAGGAACCGCAATGGCTTGTACTTGATTCCAGGGTCCCCCGATCACCCGGCTGCAATATAATAATACTGGACTGATAGTGGGGTACAGACTGGTGAACCATATCTTGTGTCCACCGATTAGTGTGTGTACACATTTGTACATGATTTGGGAGCACATTGGAGGGGGAGCAGTATTTGTAAGTGATATGGAAGCACACTAGAGGGGGACAGGGTGAATGGGTTTGTAGGTGATTGTGGGGGGGGGAGTGGTATAATGTCCAAAAAAAAAAAAACACGGCTAAATTTTTCTGCAGTGAACTGGATGGCTCTGAATGTCACCTGAGACATGACTGGAGTGTCACTTCAAATAAAGTTAGGAAAAAAGTAAACCATGTGCTGCGCTTTAACACTGCAGGGCAAAGAACTATAGGCAAAACTTTTTCTCTTTTTTTTTTTTTTTTCCCGATTTCATTATGGATAGAGTGGGGGGGGGGGGGGGGTGTATATAACACCTGTCAGATTTTATTTATTTTTGCCCTTGTCTCATTGTGGAGATTTTCCCTTCATTTCCTGTCCCATAGTCAAAACAAAGTGAGAGGAAATCCCTGAAAATTTTTGGTCCCCAGAACTAGTGTCCCCATTGGCAGATTTCCCTTCACTATTACTTTTCTGTCCATATTTGGTATTTCAAAACAATGATGATGGTAAACAGGACAAATAGAGGAATCTTCCTAACCTGACCGCAATAAACCCTGACAGGTGCTCTAGTCTCTCGGCTCTCTATCCAAAACAAAAAAAAGTTTTGCGTTTTAGTTTACTTCAAGGTCTGATCTCCTGCAGCCCCACTTAGACATTGGGGATTCTGCGTTTGAATGCTGATGAGGATTTTAATACATTGATCTGTATGGAGTCCTGCATTCTCTTGATGAAGTGGATTATCGGTCTAAATGCGTAGTGCTCAGTGTCCTGACAGCAGTGTGCAGCAGCACAGATGACATCTCACCGACATGACACATCCCCTCCTGAGTCAGTGACAATCTCTCTCCACTGGTTTCTTCAGTCCAAACAGCACTGACAGTCCCACTCCTGACTGCCTTGCTCCCATCCTGCAGACCCCCACACGAGGCTTCCTCCACTCAGTTCCCTGCACAATGACATCACACAACACACAGACCCACCCCCTGCTGGTGCCACCTGAATACACTGTAGCAGGCACTCAGATGGTCCTGGCTGGCTCTGGACTGGAACTGTGCATGCGCAGTTCTGAGCCAAGGGTCACAGCCATATTTTTACCTGGCAACCTTTTCCTTTTAATGGCAGGAGAAAAGTGCCCTTTTTTGACTGGCTGTCAGTAAAATTACAACACTGGTATCTGTAAACATTGTGTACAAAAATCATCAGCATATTCTATGTTTGTAACAATGACTTGTAATAAAATCCAGACAGATTTAATGACTGTTTGGTAACCATCTTTGGTACCCCAAAGTCTTTTTTTTTTTTTTTTTTTTTTTTTTTTTTTTTTTTTTCTTTCTAGGTGTTAATTTGTGCCAATTAGAATGCATTACCTAGAACTATTTTTTGTATAAGTTGTAAAAAAAAAAAAATGTAGCTGTGGAGAATGACTTTTGTAAATTGTTTTTTTTCTTTTCTCTTAGATTGTGACACCTTACAGCTTCTCTTCTGACCGTCTTAATAGAATTTTTCTTTTTTTTTTTTTTCGTTTTGTCTACTCACTCATCATGCAAGGCTAAGCACCCCAGGAGGGGAAGTCTTTCTCTAGGAGGTAGTTTTTGCAGCCATAGTTTTGTAGAAAGTAAAATGTTCAGCCAAGTATCCTCTATGGAGTCATTCCATTCAATGCCTAACATCTGTACGAAAACAACTAATGTACAGACTAATTTGGAATTTCCCCTGCAAAATCTGTATGGAAGTCTTTTACACCAAGCTATTCACATCTCGCCAGGATAAGTTTTTAGATGCAGGATAGTTACTTTACTGCCTTGTGGTTTGAGTTTTTATTTTAGCCACTTAGATTCCAGCCCTGTGCTGTGACTTCATGTGCCAGCGGGCATTGAAAGGTTGGAGAATACGAGCCTGCATTCACTATAGCAAAGGCCTGTAAGTGTTAGGTGCCAGCTGTTGCTGTTAAGGCCATTGGTCCATTACTCTGAAAGTGTCATCCTCCATGCTTTGAATAGGTGGAGTGATCCTAAATTTTAATGCTTTTAATTGTAGAACACCACAAGAATAACAGCAGAAAGGCAGCAATTTCACAACTGAATTTCAGTATCGCAAAGGGTATTGGTCTTTATGTGACCTGTAACATCCTATTTTACTGGCAGCTTGAATTTGTGAATTGGTTTTTAGTAAGGGCTTTAGTACAGGGCTACCTCCTAGAGAAGGACTTCCCCGACTTTTTTTTAAGCTCCTATAATGGAAGAATTAAACAGCAGTGCCTATTTGGCAAAGCTGCTGAATTCCAGCCCATCCGTGGGCTTGATTACCTTGGAATTGTCATGTGAACTTTACCGCATGTCGACGTTTTCTAAATTTCCTGCTAATCCGCCTGTTTCCGAGCGAAGTCTTGCTAAAGCTGGTTTTTACTATACTGGTGTGGATGACAAAGTCAAATGCTTCACATGTGGACTAATGCTAGATAACTGGAAAAGGGGAGACAGTGCATTTGATAAACACAAGCGGTTATATCCAAGCTGCAGCTTCATCCAGAACGCATCTCCTGTCAATCTTGGAGCATCCTTATATTCTGCATTCTCGCCTCCAAGTTCTCTGAGCAGTCAGACACAGTCATCGTCTTCTGAAGAAAGTGTTATAAGTAAATCCTACACAAGTATTCCTCATGATTCAGTTACATCAAGGGCCGTGGAAGACCTGTCTCATCTAAGGAGCAATGACAACTCTTGCATGTACACGAAGAAGCCAGGCTTCACACGTTCTCAAACTGGACTGTGACCTTTCTTAGTCCTAGTGATCTTGCTAAAGCTGGATTCTACTACATAGGTCCAGGAGATAAAGTTGCTTTTGTTTTGCCTGTGATGGAAAGTTAAATAATTGGGAACCGAATGATAATGCCTTAGCAGAACATCGCAGACACTTCCCAGATTGTTCCTTTGTGGGTGCTAGTGCCAAGCTGTCATTGAGATCCAACGTTTCTAATGTCTGCATGCAAACCACATCATCTCGACTAAAAACTTTCATAAATTGGCCCTCCAGGATCCCGGTGACACCCAAAAAACTAGCGGAAGCTGGCTTTTACTATGTTGGTAAGTGTAGTAGGTTTACTTGGGTAAAAATGGCTTGAAGTGGAACTTTATCCATAACAATTTAAGGAAAAAAAAAAGTTCTTTAGCAAGGAATATACATCCCACATTAATAATTATGCTACCAAAATGTAGTGTGTGCAGTAAATTGCCTCTGGTATGAATCCTGTTTCTTCTTCCTGGAGGCTGCCGTTTGGTTGAAGCCCAGAGCACTGAGCAGCATTAAATCTTTAGGCTGTCAGCAGATCAGCCTCTACAAATTTTTGGCACAGTGCCAAAAAATAGAGCAACTGAGCATGTGGAGAGTTGGGGAAACCGTGTATTACTGGATTTTAAAGTGGGTTTTAAAGGCTCAAGGTTTTTTATTTTCATGCATTCTTTGCATGAAGGTAAAACCTGTGTGCAGCAGCACCGTGAGCCCCCTCTTGATGCTCTCCAGGGACTCTTAACTCCTACTTGGCTGAGGCAGCAGTGGGAGTCATTGGCTTTTTATTTTTTAATGTCTTGCATAGCTCTACCTTCAAAAGGGGCCAGCCTGAAGTGATCTTGCAGAACTCTTTAATAGAGTTGCAGACTAAATAAAACTGTACCAGAAGGAGTTGCGCTGGTGCAATCTATAATCCGAATCAATTGACATTTAACGTGGAATTTTCCACCCCCTCCCCTTGTACATGGGCAGATGTGCCACAGGGCTCAGACGTTGAGAGAGCCCTGTGACACATCTGCAAAACCGCCAGGCCCCCCAGGCATCTGTGCCATGGTCACTGTTCACTCCTGTTGATTGCTTGGCAGTTCTTTTTTATTTATTATTTTTTATTATTATAGTAATACAGGATTTATATAGCGCCAACAGTTTGCTCATGCACTTTACAATATAACGGGAGACAGTACAGCAACAATACAGTTCAATACAAGAGGGATAGGAGGGCCCTGCTCCATGGAGCTTACAATCTAGGATGTACAGATTTATCCATAGATATGAATGTGGTGTGCAGATTTTTTTTCAGTATTTTAGTTCTTAAATAGCCACTAGAGAAGAGAGAGATGCAATTACTTGCAGTCACTGTAGTAACTAACGTTTTGGGTATCTGGCACACACGGGGTATGTTTTATTGAGTTGGTTGACAGTAGACTTGCATTGAGAAGGAGCAGTAAAGCACAACCTTTGGCAATTTTTTTACAAAAGAATACTATTATACAGTCATTTAAAATAAAAGCATTTTTTTTTTTCTTTTTTAATCAGTCTGCTTGTTTTATTACAGGACGGAATGATGACGTAAAGTGCTTTTGTTGTGATGGTGGTTTGAGGTGCTGGGAGTCTGGAGATGACCCCTGGGTTGAACATGCAAAATGGTTTCCAAGGTACAATATTTCTTGTGGTTTATGTAGCATTTAGGCAAAAGAGAGGATAGCTAGTTAAACTTGCAAACTTAAACTGCAAAACATTTTTTGAAGGAGGAAATGTGCACATTTTTACATGCTTCTGCCAGTCCATTGTTCTAATCTGCAGACTTCTTAGTCTCTTATCTTTGCCATTCCCAACTGTCCTAGTGTCATGTTACTGCTTTCTAATGTCAACAAAGCAGTGATAGGCGCAGAAAGAACAAGATGTTGGTAGGGAAGTATCCTAATCGGGTCTAAATTATATATATATTACAGTCTTAAACTAACCTGTATGAAATTAGTAGTTCTTGTCAATGATATTCTAGAGAGATCTTGCCAGGCACACCAGGTGCCAGTGTCTCTGGGGCCCATCCACATTCCCTGAGAAGGCAGTGACAGAAAAGAAACTACACAATAATGTCACAAACTCCAAACTATGTGTTTAGCCATACAGGCTATGTTGCATGTTGAGGTATGGAGGCCCTTACTGACATGCTTCACTCATATGACCCTAATTGTAAAGATAGCAATTTTGACCCATTTTTGATTGAAGTGGATCCACAGCTAGCATGGTTCTCTATCAGAGCTACATGGTCAACAGCATGAAGCTGCTGACTGCTCCTGAAAATGCTGTTTGCCTGGCTGTCATACTGCCCCTTTGTACTTCATTGCCTAAATCAGGCTTGCATATCGGGAATTCTAACTTCACTGACTTTCCTGGTCTGCTTACTTGTTTCAAGCCTGTGGTTTGGAAATCTGAAGCTTTTGGGTAAGCATAATGGACCCTTTCTGAATCATGTTTAGAGTCCGTGATAGTATGAAGCCACATAAAAAACTGCAAGCACTGATATACCCAAAACCAGTTCTTTATGCCCTGTATACTACTTTATTAAACTTGAATAAAATGTTTTGATGTGCTTTGGATTCTAAGAAGCTTGTTTGCTGCTATTACACATGTGCAAAGTGCTGCTTTTAATACCAGAGATTACACTTGTTCTGGTTGGACCCATGAACTGAATATCACAGCTGCCAGTAACCCTCCTCTGGGGGTGAGTTGTCTGTATTCATCTACACATGGTTGCCTGGACAGAGGATAATGGTGGCACCTGTATTCCCCCTCAGATTTACTTTAGGTTAGGGTCTTTACTGGAGGCTTTTGTCACACTACTTGTGAACACGCTACTTTCTTTACTTGTATGATTTCTTCTATTTTTAACCTTCTTTTTTTTTTTTTTCTTTTTCTTTTTTTCTTTCCTCCCTAGGTGCGAATATTTATTACACATTAAAGGTCAAAGTTTTGTCCAGAACATTCAAGAGCGGTATCCACATCTTCTAGATCAGGTGGGTTGGGGAAAATTGTGATTGTTATGGAAATCATTCTTCTTTCTAGGTGGGAAAGATTAGAACCTTTTTTGTTTGGTTTTAATACTGTTTCTGGTTTTGTTCGGATGAGTAATTTGGGCATCTTCTGAGTATTGGATATCAATAGCAAGACCCACACCAAGCATGGACAGTTTTGGGTGGAGGCTCTCTTCTAAAGGGATGATTATTACCCCCTTGGAGAGCCTCTACTCAAAACTATACATGATTTGTGTGGGTATTACATGCAGGCAATTAGGTTTGCAGCCTTGCTTTTTCATATCTAATATCCAGAAGATGCCCATGTGACTCCCTGGGGTCAGAAACTTAAGGTTTGGCACTACAGAGAAATCTCTAAATGATAGTGTTAGAAGATGTAAATGACCTTTTCGGTTGTTGTATTATACATGGGTTATAAGTGATTAGATCAATGAAAGACTGTTGTCTTGAAGTAACTTAAGTGAAGGCAGACCAGGCCTTGAAACGGTGTGCTTCATGGTTGTGGTGTCTTGGACTTCATTTAGCTTTTCCCATCCTGCGGAAGTGCCCCAGGATTTTCTTCTGCACTTGTATGCCCATGGTACCATCATCTGAACAGTTGTTCAGCTGATGTATCATTAGAAGGTAATACATATTTCTTGTACGTCTGGATAGGCAGGGCATTGATAGTAAAAGCTGAACCAGTTCAGCAGGGATCGGCTGAGATCCGAACCATCTATGGGCAGGTTGATTGAACCCAATTCGATTGTTGTAAGATTTCAGTACAACCAGCCTGTCCAATTGTTGCATGCGACTTTTGCCAGCAGCTGTAGCCGCTAGCAACAATCGCTGTTCTCCCAGCAGGGATGCCTCCCCTCTGGGAGAACACAATGGCTCGGCTGAAGGGAATCCCCTATCAACACTAACTGTATTGATGGGAGAATAGACTAATTTTTTTTTCTGCAGGAAAGAAAATTGCATAGTCTGTGGCCTGCCTTAGGCAGATTCAGTTAAGACTAATGAATGTCTTGAGGGGGAAAAAGTCTTTTTAGGGGAGACGACAATAAAATAAGGGCTAGAAATGGTGAATTGGCTACATTTGGTCAGCATATATTGCATCTGCTAATAACTTTATTTTCTTTATATTTCTAGTTGCTGTCAAATTCAGAATCTCAAAATAATGAAGCCCAGTATCCACCTAGTGAGTATATTTTATCATTTAAAAAAAAAAAAAAAAAAAACGGCGAGAGATTAAAAAAAGTAAAAGCATGACATACACACAATCCATTGTAATCTGTTAGGATTACATTATTGTATCAAACCATTTCACATACATCTTGTCCTGTGCCCTGCCTGCACTTTTTACCGTTCTTTCTGCTTGGAAAGTTGAACGGCCATGGCATCCAAAAAGCGTCCCCTTTTTTTTTTTTTTTTTTTTTTTGGTTAAAAGCAGTTTTAGACCAGCTAGAAAACAGATGGTGCATTAGAATCACTTGCAGAATTGAGCGACAGTGATTCTTGGGGAATTTTGTCATCACACTGAAAGTGACGACCGCAACGATTCTGTGACTGAGCTCAGTGATGTGCAAACTTTGTGTTCTATTTCAAATTTCAGTGTTTTTGGTTTGATTACATTATTGAATTTTATTATAATATTTATGATTTCGTGTTTCAAACTTTAACATACCCGGGATGTTTACTAGACTTGTTTTGGACAGATTTAAGTGAGTTATTCCTAAGAATTACAGGCCTACAATATAAAACAACAAATTTTACCGCTTTGACATTCAAAAATATTGACATAATCAGACCGCCAAAGAGGTTAAACTTAGTCCTTCTGGCTGTACAAGGATACTTCCCAGCTGTGGTACAAACATTACTGTACCTTTTGTTATTACATGTAATGGCATTCTTATTCATATGATACAAAAAATCGCCATTTTCCATAATAAATGGCATTCGTTTATTACAGCAGGGCAGCTGTTCTATCATCCACAGGCTAAAACATAGCCCTGGTTCAGATGTGGTTTGTGTCTTTTGCAGAAATGAACTACAGTTATTTAACATGGTTTCCTATGGGATATGTTCACATTTTTTATTATAGCGCCAACAGTTTGCACAGCGCTCTACAAAATGAAGGTAGACATTACAGTTACAATACAAGTTGGTAAAAGAGGAAACAGGGCCCTGCTCCTTAGAGCTTACAATCTAGGAGGAAATCAATATATTTTCAGCCACTGCATTTTTGAAAAGGGTTGGACTTTTTTTTTCCCACAGCGTTTTATGGTTCAATAGACTTCAATGGAACTGCACCAAAAAAGCAAATGTTGCGTTTTTTTTTTGCATTTATTTATATTTTTGCCCAATAGGAAAGTACTGCGTGCAACTTTGATGCAACTTTACGCTTTCTGGGACTCGGGTTGCATCAAAGTAGTGCAGGAGCATTTTCAAAGTCAATGCGATTTTGAAAAGGTTCCTGCACTACCGTGATGCAACTTTGAAAGCCAGAGTGTGTACAGTCACATTCAATACTTTCCTACTGGGGAAAAAAACACACAATATGTGCCAAACGTATGTTCAAAAAAAACACAACGCTCAGGAAAAAACGCAGCAGTTGCAACATGCATAGGTGTGAGCCAGGCCTCTTGGTGCTTGGAATCAGATGATTAGAACATTGCAAGCAGGTGTTCAGATTAAATTTACTGTGTTTTTGGTAAACTGTTTCAAGAAAGGAAGTCAAATATCATGTTCTAATACTGTGGGGTTTTTTTTTTTTTCAGTTATTCGCTTGGATAAGGAGTGTAACCAGGATGATGAGACTTGCATGAACACCACAGTGGTCCAAGATGTTCTATCTATGGGCTTCTTGCGCAGATTGGTCAAAGAAACCATTTTTAATAAAATACTGACCACGGGGGGGGAGAATTACAAGGAAACTGCTGACTTGGTGAATGATTTAGTGACTGCCCAGAAAGAGCAGACCGAAGAGGAGAGAGACCGACAGTCAGAGCAAAATTCAGCAGGTAACTCTTAAGGTGCAGTTAGCATGTGAATTGTTACCTATTACAGAGGGATGCAGCAGGCTAAATAGTGAGTTTTGCCTATACTGACACTTTTTATCTTTTAAAATTTTGGATGGTAAAAGGAAGGGTTAATACCTCTGCTGTTTTATCCCCCCCCCCCCCCACTCGCCAAGATCCTTTTGATCTGAAAATCTATGCAGCAAGCTGGAAAATTTGGCCGTAGTACATCCAATCAGATGCAGCCGCTGTTTGGATATTCTGACAGCCGCAAGTACTGGCTGTCAGAATACAATAGCTGGCAGGGGAGATTTGCTAGATTCTGCATTCCAGTATTTTTCAGCTTATTCAGCAGATATAATGCAAGTTAAATCTGAGACCAATGAGTCTAATAAAGCCACAGATGCAAAGTACGTTTGATAACAACTTGCACAAGTTAAATCTGAGACCAATGAGGCTAATAAAGCCACAGATACAAAGTACGTTTGATAACCACTTGCACATTTATCTTCTGTAACCTACTGTATGCCTGGACATGTTTTTTCCATTTGGCCTAAAGTTGGCGTGTATGCAGTCTTTAACTGCCTCCTCTCTCCCGCTATATAGTCCAATGATGAGCGCAAGGCGGTTCTCTTGTTCTGGGAGGACGTCATATGACGTCCTCCCATTCTCTCAATGCGCATGCGCGGCTCTGGGAGCGTGCAGCAATCTGCTGTGCACTGTCCCTCGGACACAGCAGATCACCGATCCACAGAAAGAGCTGAAGATGTCTGCTCGGTCATGTGATCAGCTGTGTCCAATCACAGCTGATGGCATGTAAACACGCTGACAGCTCGTGAGGAGAGGAGAGCCGGTAATCGGCATTCCTCGGAGGGGACGTGCACTGATCATCAGGGCACTGATGATCAGTGTAGCCCCAGCAGTAGTACCACCTATCAGTTTCAGCAGTTTATCACATCAATAGCACAGCGCTTTGCTTCAACGCTAAGCATACGAAATGAATGTTGGTTCATAATGCAATGATCCTGTTTTAATAGTTTGGCAGACAACTTGAGAAATGTCACTAAAATTGACTTTTTTTTTTTTTTTTTTTTTTGCAGATGAGATCAATATAATAAAGAGAAGCTGCCCTGTGCTTTTACAGCAAATGACATCTGTTCTCTGCATGGCAATTATGGATGATCTTCATGTTGCACAAGGTTTAAGTTATGAGGAATGTGAGATGATAAAGAACAAGAAAACCTCTATTCTACAAGCCCAGGATCTGATTGATAAAGTTCTGACCAAGGAAAAAAATGTACCAGAAATGTTCAAACAGAGCCTTAATGTCCACGACCCAGTGCTTTACAAAGAGTTATTCAGTAAGTGTTTAAGTGGACTGTGCTTACTATAAGAAAAATGTCAGGAGCTAATGCGGATCTTAAAAATAGTGGGTGACTTCTGGACACCCATATGTATTGAGTTCAGTTTTTTATGGGAGCACTATATTTTAGGGAGCAGGATACAGGGGGAGCACTTGATTTATGTATACATTAGTGGGTGAAGGTATGTGGTACTAAAGAATGTATGTAGTTTCAGCAGCATAGCAGTGAGTGACCAGCAGGCCATGTCTGGGTCCACTTTTTAGTGCAGATGGGGGAATCTTACTTGTGCAAATGAAAAGAAACAAAAGTGATATCAGAAGTGAACATTAATCTATATATGGCACTGACCACATTCTTCTGAATGTTGAGTGTGAGATCTGTGGCGTTGTGACCTCATGTATGTGTTCTTACTTTGGGCATTAAGATCATATCTCTTCATCCTGCAATCACTGCCTCTCTGTGGGCCTTCATCTCTTAATATGGGATGCATCAGCACAGGTTCACGAATCCTTGGCCAGGAGCAAAGTTTTCTGCAATTTGGATTTGTGGACCTTCTGAAATGTGGTATGTGGTGGCCACAGATTGTTACACACTTTCTATGAGCCCTGTGAAAGTTTTTTTGCTTTTAATTATTTTAGACTTTCGGTCAGCTTTTTAATGCGGTCTGTGTCCCCATTGGTGAGGATGACAATCCTATTTGTACTGGTGACTTTGTCACCAAGGAACAACATTTTTAAAGTTGTCACCAGAATAAGCTGCGAGGCAAAAGCTCTCATTGTGGGGACATATGTCTAAGAGGAGAATTCCCCTCACTTTGGGAGATTTCCTGTTGGACCTCCAGGACAGCAAATGTAGAGACATTTCCCCAATAGTACATAGGCAGCAAAAAAGTAACCTGGCAGGAATTTTAATTTTTGTTCTTTCAATCTGAAGGGAAAAAAAAATTGGTTATACATAAGTGTGTAGTGTACAAAGTTAATGTCGACATCCCCTTCCTTTTTGTTGTGATAAAACTCATTGACTTTTTCCCTTTTTTCAGTTGAACAATCTTTGGGAAGTCAAGCATCAGATGACTATTCAGGTAAACATTTATGACTCTACACTTGAAGATTAATTTTCTGAAGTGTAAAATGCACAGTATGTTCTATCTACAAACTCAAGTGACACATTAACAAAATAGAAAAGTGTTACTACATGAGTCTAAATTTCAAGCTATTCTATTGGTCTGGCACAGTGGATTGTTTGACTCAGTATGAATAAGTACCATACTTATTGAACAATTTACACACCCATGACTGGATTATCAGGATATGACTAATGTTACCACTGGACTTGGGTTTTAGCTGTAGAAACACATCTTTCTTTGATGGGATTATGGAAAAATTAGTACTACTATAAGGCTTTTATTGCGGTTTGTATTCCCACTGGGGAGGTTCTGTTTGTCTTGGTGACCATTGTCTCTGGGACAGGAAGTGATGGTGGGGAAATTCCAAATTTCCAATTGTCACCTGAACAAAAGATGAGGGGAAATCTTCCAATGGGTGCACCCATTTTGGATGACCAATAAGAGGGGATTTCTTTTCTGTGTCCTGGATAGGAAGTAAAGTGGACTTAAAAGAATAAATAAAGGGGGTTTGAACCATTTCATAATCTTTACAAAAGAAGAGAAACTATTCTTGGCAACTTTCTTGCATTACAGATATGTGCAATTATTCTTAGATTAAAACATTTGCCTTGAAATCCTCAATTTCTTTGGACTGTTTTTTTTGGAGGAAATCTGTCAGGATAAAAGTATAGGAGCTGCCATTACTGACCAGTTTAGGGCACAGGTTCCAATGCTGTTTGTGGTTTTCCTTCCTTTACAAACAATTTTAAATGTGAACTGGACAAGCCTGAGCATATCCAAGTCCAGGTCACTGCTCACAAAGTAGTGAAGAAAGTATACAGTTGCAAGAAAAAGTATGTGAACCCCTTGGGATTACGTGGAGTTTTGCATGAATTGGGCATAAAATGTGCTCTGAACGTCATCTAAGTCACAACAATAGAAGAACACAGTCTGCTGAACATAATACTACACAAACATTGGATGTTGCCATGGTTTAATTGCACATAACATGTAAACATTCACAGTGCAGGGAGGAAAAAGTATGTGAACCTTTGGACTTAATAACTGGTTGACCCTCCTTTGGCAGCAATAACCTCAACCAAACGTTTCCTGTAGTTGCAGATCAGACCTGCACAACGATCTGGAGTCATTTTGGACCACGCCTCTTCACAAAACTGTTTCAGTGTAGCAATATTCTTGGGATGTCTGGTGTGAATCGCTCTCTTAAGGTCATGCCACAGCATTTCAATCGGGTTGAGGTCAGGACTCTGACTGGACCACTCCAGAAGGCGTATTCTGTGCTGTTGCAGCCATTGTTTTGTTGAATTACTTGTATGCTTTGGGTCATTGTCCTGTTGCATCCCCCATCCTCTGCGGAGCTTCAGTTGGCGGACAGATGGTCGTACGTTTTCCTGCAAAATGTCTTGATAAACTCTGGAATTCATTTTCCCATCAATGACAACAATCCGTCCAGGCCCTGAGGCAGCAACGCAGCCCCAAACCATGATGCTCCCTCCGCCATGTTTTACAGTGGGGATGAGGTTTTGATGTTGGTGTGCTGTGCCTTTTTTTTTTTTTTCTCCACACATAGTGTTGTGTGTTCTTCCCAAACAACTCAATCTTGGTTTCATCTGTCCACAGTATATTTTGCCAGTAGTGCTGTGGAACATCCAGGTGCTCTTTTGCAAACTTTAAACGTGCTGCAATATTCTTTTTGGACAGCAATGGCTTCCTCCGTGGTGTCCTCCCATGTACTCCATTCTTGTTTAATGTTTTCCTATTGTAGATGTGTCAACAAAAATGTTAGCATGTGCCAGAGATTTCTGTAGGTCTTTAGCTGACACTCTGGGATTCTTCTTTACCTCGTGCAGCATTCTGCGCTGTGCTCTTGCAGTCATTTTTACAGGACGACCAAGCCTAGGGAGAGTAGCAACAGTGCTAAACTTTCTCCATTTGTAGACAGTCTGTCTTACCGTGGACACATGAACATCAAGGTTTTTGGAGATACTTTTGTAACCCTTTCCAGCTTCATGTAAGTCAACAATTCTTGATCGTAGGTCTTCTGAGAGCTCTTTTCTGCGAGGCATGGTTCACATCAGACAGTGCTTCTTGAAACCAGTAAACCCAAAACAGGTGTGTGTTTTTTAAGGGCAGGACAGCTGTCAGCAACACATCCAATGTCATCACACTGATTGGAGTTAAGGTTGGCTCACTCCTGGCTCCAATTAGCTCTGGGAGAAGTCCTTAAGCTAGGGCCTCACATACTTTTTCCACCCTGCACTGTGAATGTTTACATGTTATGTGCAATTAAACCATGGCAACATCTAATGTTTGTGTAGTATTATGTTCAGCAGACTGTGTTCTTCTATTGTTGTGACTTAGATGACATTCAGAGGACATTTTATGCCCAATTCATGCAAAACTCCACGTAATCCCAAGGGGTTCACATACTTTTTCTTGCAACTGTAACTAGTTATAAATGACACGTTCAGTATAACCACACCTGATACTTTTTTTAACAAACGCCTCCACTAATATTTTTCATTTTTTTTCTTTTTTTCAGATTTGCCAATGGAAGAGCAGTTAAGAAGGTTGCAAGAAGAGCGGACTTGTAAAATTTGCATGGACCAAGAAGTGTCCATCGTCTTTATCCCATGTGGGCATCTGGTAGTATGCAAGGATTGTGCACCATCCCTACGGAAATGTCCCATTTGCAGAGGAATAATTAAAGGCACAGTTCGCACATTTCTTTCATGAAGTTGGAGAAGAAAAATTTAAACAAGCTATGTTTACTGTCTCACTTTATGTGCACTATGTATGAATAAAGTTTCAGTTGACTCATATTTTGTATGGTTGTCTTCCTGGGCTGCTCGATCTGTTCCCCAGTGAAATAGGCCTTCCATTGCTGGGTGTTCAATCTGCCTTTTTTTTTTTTTTTTTTTTTTTTTTGGTGCATGGAGCATTTACATTTGTTTGTGGTTAGTGTGAATAGCATTTGGAACTGATGCTGTATGATTTTCCTGTTCTCCCCACCTCCATCACTTCAAGGCCAAATGGATTATATCTTTTCCATGCTAAATTAAAGGGAACCTATTAAGTCGCTGACTTGATGGGAGTTCAAGCTTTTCAGACCCTCATTGACGTAGGCTGGACTTGCGCATGCTTTGGTTTGAAGGTCAATTTTCACAGCAAATTAGCAAACCGTTGTTCAGGACAGAATTTTGAAGCAAGAACTGCTTAAAGCTTCTTTCAGGTCTGGCTTACTAGGTAATCAGATTAAAATGTGGATAACCGCCCCAATCCCTGTGCAAAAAAATCAATCAGCTCCTATGCTTTATGGTTGCCATCCTTTGCTTCCACATTTTGGTGGATCTTTGACCTGGAACAAGTGATGCATATCAGGTGGTGATGAGCACGTGCTTATTATAATTAACTACTTCAAGTCTGGACACTTTTACTCCCTTCCTGTCCAGGCCAATTTTCAGCTTTCAGTGCTATCACATTTTGAATGACAATTGTGTGTCATGCAACACTACCCATATGATTTTTTTTTTTTTTTTTTTTTTTTTGAGACTGATAAAGTTTATTTTGGTGGTATTTATTCACCACTGGGATTTTTATATTTTTTTGCTATGTAAATGAAAGTCCAAATTCTGAAAAAATTTTTTTCTTATAAAATTTTGAAAATATTTCATCAAATCTTGGCCAAAATTTATTCCATTATCTTTTTAGTAAAAAAAAATAACCCAAATTAGTTTAACCAAAAATTTTATTTTTTAAATATTTTTTTTTTATTACTTTTTATATTTTTTTACCTACTGTCACCCTAGCAGTACAGTCACCATGGTGACACTGTACTACTTGTGGGGGGTGATGAAGATTTTTTTTTTTTTTTTTTTTTTTACACTGATTGCTTTTACACCCATAAGGGTTGTAAAAGCAATCAATTCTACTCTCTGGCTGCATTCTTGCAGCCATTGAGAACTACTGTGTGAGCTGTGATTTGTCACATGGTACAAGGCTGTTGTGAATAGCCTTGTACTATGTGACCTCTGATCATTCACAGATTTCACACGTAGTAAACAATGATGTCAGAAGTGACATCTTGCTTTACTACTCTGCATGTGATTACTGATTGGCCATCAGTGATCACATGATTGGGAACTCACACAGAGGTCCTGCATGACGATCTGTGTTCCACTGTGTCTGGATCACGGTGCTGCATGCTCCCAGGGAGCGCACACAAGCAGGGGGCGGGGAGGCGTTTATAAACAGCCACCCGCCCTTGCACTGCCACCCACCCCTGCACTGCCACCGTCCGGCCGTTTTATATACAACGGCCGGATGGGAGGTGATTAAGGAAGGGGTATTCAGCATAAGCCTCTTTTTACAATTAAACCATAGACTAGGCTTGATTTTCTGTTTTCTCACACTGGGGTTCAAGTTGGCTGCACAAACTAGCATTTTCTACCATCAGATAGTTTGGCATTTTGTGAAGGTCAGCATTGGCGGTAGACCTCATTTACACTTGTGCGACTTGTCATGCAACTTTGGACATCAAAGTTGCATGTTAAGTCGTACCCCATGTTTTCCAATTATAACCATTCATATACACTCACTGGACACTTATTAGGTACACTTGTTCAATTGCTAGGTAACACAAATTGCTAATCAGTCAATCATATGGCAGCAACTCGGTGAATTGGGTATCTAGATGTGGTGAAGACTTGCTGAAGATCAAACCAAGCATCAGAATGGGGAAGAAAGGGGATTTAGGTGACTTTGAACATGGCATGGCTGTTGGTGCCAGACAAATGGTCTGAGTATTTAAAAAAATTGCTGATCTACTGGGATTTTCACGCACAACCATCTCTAGGGTTTACAGAGCATGGTCTAAAAAAGAGAAAATATACAGTGAGTGGCAGTTGTGTGGACGAAAATGCCTTCAAAAGAATGGTCAGATTGGTTGCTGCAACCATTCAGATGGTAGGGTCAGATTTTGGCATAAACATGAAAGCATGGATCCATTCTGCCTTGTATCAACGGTTCAGGCTGGTGGTGATGTAATGGTGTGGGGGATATTTTCTTGGCATTTGCAAGCTGTATCTAAAAGTGGCCGGTGAGTGTGTGTGAAACCTCTTGGTACTCTTCCATAAAGGCCAGATTTGTGGAGTGCACGACTACTAGTTGTCCTGTGGACAGATTCTCCCACCTGAGCTGGGGATCTCTGCAGCTCCTCCAGAGTTACCATGGGCCTCTTGGCTGCTTCTCTGATTAATGCTCTCCTTGCCTGGTCTGTCAGTTTAGGTGGACGGCCATGTCTTGGTAGGTTTGCCATTGTGTCATACGCTTTCCATTTTCAGATGATGGATTGAACAGTGCTCTGTGATATGTTCAAAACTTGGGAGATTTTTTTTTTTTAATAACAACCCTGCTTTAAACTTCTCCACGACTTTATCCCTGACCTGTCTGTGTTCCTTGACCTTCATGATGCTGTGTTTTCACTAATGTTCTCTAACCTCCAAGGCCTTCACAGAACAGCTATATTTGTACCAAGTTGTATTGTAATTTATGTCTCTACCTTAATTCTGTAAAGTGCTGAGCAAACTGGTGCTATATAAATCCTGTATAATAATAATATTTATACTGAGATTAACCAATTGCCTACTGGACACTTTTACTCCCTTTGTGCCGAGGCCAATTTTCAGCTTTCAGTGCCGTTGCACTTTGACAATTGCGTGGTCATGCAACATTGTGTACACATGAATTTTTTTTATTTTTTCACACAGAGCTATCTTGGCGGTATTTTTGTTTTTTGCACAATAAACAAATTGCAAAATGTTATATTATACAGTATATAGCACCAACAGTTTGCTCAGCGCTGTACATTACAATAGACCAATACATGAGACAGTACAATAACAATACAGTGCGATACACGAGGGATTTGAGGGCCCTGCTCCTTTGGAGCTTACAATGTAGGAGGGAGGGGATAGTGGTACGGGAGGAAAAGCTGTGGGGGGATGGAGTGGTAGGAAGAGATCGGCAGTTAGCAGAGGGTGGGGTAGGCTTCCCTGAAGAGGTGGGTTTTTAGGGTGCACCTAAAGGAGAGGAGAGTGGATAATAGTCTGATGGATTGGGGTAGGGAGTTCCAGAGGATGGGTGATGTCCTGGAGGTGGGCATGGGAGGAGGAGATCAGGGAACTAGAGAGAAGGAGGTCTTGTGAAGAGCGGAGAGTGCATTTTGGGTGGTATTTGGATATTGGGTCGGTGAGGTAGTTTGGGGCAGAATTATGGACAGCTTTGTATGTCAGTGTTAGCAGTTTGAATTTGATCCGTTGGGCAATCGGAAGCCAGTGGAGGGATCGGCAGAGGGGGGTAGTGGATACGGAGCAGGTGGTAAGGTGGATGAGTCTGGCCAGCGTATTCAGGATCGACTGAAGCGGGGATAGCCTGTGGTGAGGCAGGCCAGTGAGGAGGGAGTTGCAGTAATCGAGTCGTGATATGATGAGGGAGTGCATGAGCTGCTTAGTAGTTTCTGGGGTTAGGAACGTGCGTATTTTGGTGATGTTGCGGAGGTGGAGTCTGCATGAGTTTGTTAGCGATTGGATAATAGAAACAAAACTGCCTATCCATGCACTGATGAGGTGGCATGGATAGGCAGCACTGACTGGTGGCACTGATGATTGTGCAGATGTCTTTGTGTCATTTGCCGGTTATCGGCAGCACTTTCCTCATGCTGTGACAGCGTGAGGAAAGTGCTGCCGATAACTGGCAACTGTATTTACATTGTGATCTGCTGTGTTATTGGACACAGCTGATCACATGCTATAAGGCCACTGTGATTTGGCCATTTACCTCGGCATATGATCAGCTGTGTCCATAGGATCATGAAGAGCGCTGGGGGCAGACGGGAGGGCGCGTTCTGGGAGGACATCATATGACGCCCTCCCAGAACTGGACAACCATTCTGTTGCCAACCACGCTATAGCCAAATTATGGCAAGTGGTTACAGGTGGACTTTACTTAATAGGTGACTTCTGAAGGCAATTTGTTCCACTAGATTTTAGTTAGGGGTATCAGAGTAAAGTGATATGAATACAAATGCACACTACACTTTTCAGATATTTATTTGTAAAAAATTGTGAAAACCATTTATCATCTTTCTTCCATTTGTGCCACTTTATATTGGTCTATCACATAAAATCAATTTACGTTTTTGGTTGTAACATGACAAAGTGTGGAAACTTTCAAGGGGGTATGAATACTTTTTCAAGACACTGTATATTCACACAGAAAAGCTCTAGTCTGAATACAATCAAGGTTCTTATTTTAACTGAAGCGCTGATGAAGGTTTTTTCCTGACCCCTGAAATGTGTTGGATTTTTTTTTTTTTGTATTTGCTAATAAACTTGGACTCTTATCCTTTGGTCTGGTGTTCCTTTCATTAGTGCGTAAATTTTTTTTTTTTTTCCTCTTTTCTGGTAACCTGCTGGTATACCCACTGGCAGGTAGCCTTGTGTGTTGTGAGCAGCCTAACCTGAGCCAGTGAGCTTTCCAAATGTTTTTGTCAAAGTACCAGCACTTCCTGGATGTTTTTTTTTTTTTTTTTTTTTTTTTTTTTTCTCTCCCCCCCCCCCCTTCATTATTGTCCAGCAAAAGGCATGGAAAGGTGGGCATTTACCAATGCAAATTAAACAAAAAAAATAAAATCTTGGGAACCTGGAACTTGTCCATTATACCTAATACTCCTCTGA